TTCTCAGTACTCTGTAATAACCTATATGGGAAAAGAATCTAAACAAAAGTGCATATATGTATACGTACAACAGATTCACTTTCCTGTACAACTGAAAATACCTCAATAAAAATTTAAAACTTTTAACTATTAAAAAAAAAAGAAGTTCAAGGTAGTTGCATGGATCCTGTAAGACTTTGTAATTAAAAAAAAAACAACAACATGATTTAAATCAGATGATTCAGGTTTAAATTTCTGTTTTTACCACTTATGTAGTTTTTGAATTTGGATATGTCAGAAATTTCTGAGTCTCAAGTTCCTTATCTGACAAATGGGATGAAATCTAGGTCATAGAATTACTGAATTATTGTGTGAATAAATGACTCAATAAATGAAAATATACCTTATAAAATTTAAAGTATGATACAAGAATCAGTTATTTATATATACACAGTACACACATATTTGTATGGGTCAAAAGGATAATTTTGTAACAGATTAATTTCAACAGAATACAAAAGGTTAAAGACAAGTTACTTATAAGCTTGAAGAAATGTTTTATCAAGTAGTGGAATGCAATGAGGGACACTGAATGCCTTTAGAAAGGCAGAACTGAGGAATGATATTACAGTTGCAGGGAGTACAAGGGAAAGTTGTAAGGGAAAATGTAAGACACATTCACATAGAAAATGAAAGAACTGAGCATGAAGTCAGAATATGAATACTGTGACATACAAGCCCCGACTCTTTTCCAAGTCCCTATATTGCCCTAAAAATCTGTAACTAACTCTCCAGGCAATCAGGAAAGTGGAAGTAATACCAGTTGGGCAATCTCCATTGAAAGATTTCTCTTATTGCCAAAGAGCATGGCAATCTGTCATTCTCCACAAGACACAGAGTTACCACATCCTTGAAAAGACCATGTTTATAAAAATCTGGAAACACAGTTTGCATTCAATCAGAAGTAGCTCTTCAACCGTCACAGGACAGAGTTCATATTTGGTACCAAAAAAGATCTGAAGTTGGAATGCCATTTTTTCCCAGCTGGGAGTCATTTAGCAAAGGTCCGGGCAGTTCTGTCTCCATTTAGAGTAGGTCAGTCAGTTATAGATGAAGGGGGAAGTAAGAACCGTAGCTCTGAAGCTCACGAATGGACCAGTAGACCTGGTCCAATCTACTCAATCCAGAGCACCAAGCTATCTCCCAGGGAACATGCTGTAAATCTCATTATAACAGAAATATTTCTGCAGACAAAAGGCATTCTTCCTTCAGCTAGCTCTTTTAGGTGCCAAATTAAAGACTGACTTGTTCATTTCATTCAGAGATTTCAAAGAGGACTTTCTGGATAAGTTCCTTTCCAGTGCAGTCTTAGCTGAGAATATATATTATTTTGGAATAGACAGTGATTTCTTGGCATAGAACTTCCAGCATCACGATTTAGACTGAAAAATCATTAATCCCTTCCTGCTCCAACAATAAGGATTTCTTACATTGCTCAAATAAAATGGAAGGACTCCCTTCATTTCTACTTTCTTCAGAGACACGGTGCATTGTTCAGGTACTGGCCCTCTTCTGTCTATAGGGGAGACCATCTAAGTGCTAAACGATTCACATTCATTTGTTCATATTAGGCTTCTGAGTATAGTTTAGGATAAACGTGATTATACCGACACAGTAACTGAGTCTTAAGGACACTGAATCACTTGCCTAGGAATATGCAGTAATTAACAGCACTGGTATTTAGACTTAAGGACGTGAGTCTATCCAATGTCTGTGTTCTTTTCATTTCCCTTCACCACCCTTTGATGGGTAACATAAAGATTACATGGGCTCAGCTGGTTCAAGGCAATGCATTTACTTTCATCTACTACACATACTCTCAATCCACTTTGTATCAGTGACAACTTTTCCACCCACTCACAGAATCTCATTCCTTTGAATATTAAAGTCTTCTTCTTTTTTTTTTAAAGGCAACAAAATGTCATGTGTTACAACAGGCTAGCGTACTGCCTGGGTTTGAATCTTGCTTGAGAAACTTTAGACAAAATACATCAGTTTCATCATCTGAGAAATGCAAGAAGGTTTTATGAGAACCATGAACCATGTAAATTACCTTGTACAGTGCCTGGCATGCAGTGAGCCTTCAATAAAGGTTTGCTATTACTATTACTATGATTTGAAACATATATTACTATTTACAACTGTTTTCCAGAAAGTTTTCTTTATTTTCTTTCCTGTTATTATTCATTAGACTTTCTATTTTTGTTTCCCTCGTTTTTATATTAAATTGGAATGGATGGGACTTAATTCAGTAAAGTGGTTGGTATAACAGTTGTATTATTTTATAGCATTTGACAAAACTGTCTGCAAAATGGGGTCACCAGCAGTTGGCAATTCAGAGAGAAATCATTAAGGTCTGTCCTAAACAATCCATTTACTTTTTTGCTGATGCTGTATAAAGGAGGAACAAGATAGCTCTACTGACTTTTGCAAATTTGAAGCTCTTCTCTTCTACAACCTGTCACTTCTGTGTAATAGGACACTCATTTAGCAAAGTATTCATGTTTTAAGTCACAGATGCGTCCTTTACAAAAGAATAACATAAAATGAAGGGAAATAATGCTAATTTTTACCAAAAGATTATTATAAGACACTTTAAAAGAATTATAAATGAAGAACTCTAAAAAGAGTGAATGTATAATGCACATTTCCAAATTCACAGAGGAAGTAGTTAAAATGAGCCTTACAAAGGGAAAGATTAGTATCATATCTTTGCTATTTCACCAATATTTATGAAATGCTAGGAAAAATAAATAGAAAGAGAGCAAAAGTGATAAAGTGTTTGCAGATGAAACATAAATCTCTTAAAATCTCCAATCACATACAGGGGTTTTACATGTCTCCTTTCTGGCTGAAACAAAGTGAAAAGAAACCTATTCAGGGCTGATTATTTCTGACCTGTGGGGACTTTTCCTGGGCCTTTGACACTTTTCTATATTTTGAATTTTTAAGTCCAGGGTATTATGATTGCTGGTTCTTCAAGTTTCAGCTCCAGCCTTTACTAAGCTGAGATATGCTTGCATCAGAGCCCTATCCTCAGAATTCCACTGAACATGGCCTTTGGAGGAGCTATCACATGCTGCTCTGATTGTTCTCACCCAGCATGGACTTAGGACCCTACCACTATTGGCTTATATTTCCAAATGACAGAACATAATTTCATGAGATTAAAAAATGTACTCATTAAATGGATATAATATGACAAAAAATGTATTCATTAATCAACTCAGCAGTATTTACTAAGACCCCACCAGGAGGGGGCGTGCCATACGGAAATGGCCCATTGAAATGTTTTAACGCAATGGTACACAAAGCCTTCTTTCTTACTTGTAAACCCCGACCAAGTATCAGGAACTAATTCTGCTGAGAGTTAAAGATCAGAGTCAAATTTCAACATGACTTCTCTCTGCACAGTATTGCAGTGAACAGAAATGTAAACTAAGAGATTCATTTCAGTTCCCCAAGTATTTCTTCCATTCCCAAACTACTCGGATATACTTAAGAAACACATCCATCCCATTAATGATAGCATGAAGGGTTCCAATTACAAGAGTTTCTATAACTTCTTTCAATGAATCATGCAGGGGGGGAAACGATTCCCAGACAAAATGACAGAGAGAAAATTCTAGTGTTCGTGTTTGCTTAATAAACACTCAAAAATAGAAAACAAGGCTCAATATGATTTCTCAACACTAGTTAGCTAAAATCTACATAATTATTCTAATCTTTTTGTAGTGAGAGTTAAATAACAAACATCCCAAACTCCCCAGAAAGGATTATCATTTTGGGGAATGGAATGCTTATCCTTAGGGGAAGTCGATCTAATCTGAGCATTTCCTTTCCTGTTTGATTTTACTAGATTATTGCCATCAATCCAGTTAAACGATGCTTTATCTAGTTAAAGTATAGTCAAAACATCATACTTATGCAATAAAAATACGTTTACATCATGTTGTGATAGTCTGGGTATCACCAACCCAAATGGATTTTAAAATCAAACTGGATATTTAGACCGACTGGCAAAACTATGGAAATTGCCTCAAAGAAATACCTCCTTTTCAAGTATTTTATACCAGAATGATAGAGAAAGGAAACTGTTCATTAAACACATTCTCTGGGCTGGAATAGAATAATTAGGAATATCTATGTAATGAAGAACTTAATAAACTGAGAAAGAGCTTTAAATAAAGAGCTATAATCAGGGACAGAAAGACTGTAGTTGTAAGTTTTATTTTCAAGGCCTGATACACTCCCCTGTTGCATATCAAAATTTAATTCTAGGCTATTCACAATTTATAAGTATCAAAACTATTTTTACTAGTCCTTGCTAACTTCTTAAGTTCCCCTGACACAGCGCAAAGCACCAATCAATCTAACAGTTGCAGACCTCCACAAGCACAAAGCACATTTCACATTAAACATTTGAAAACTAATCTGAGATCTTGCCTAGGGACTTGCTTTCAAACATTTTCGTAATTAGTCACTTGCTATCAAATCTGAATCAAGGGCATCTATATATAGTTTCCATAATCCATCACAACAGACTTTATATGAGAACTGAGGAGCTTTTTGGAATAAAGGTCCCAAACAGCTGGGTATCACGCCTCAGGCAATTGCTGAAGGCATTATGATACACAAAAAAAAGAAGAGTAAAGAAACGAACAACTGACAATGTTCTCTGTTGCTCACCCAGAACTAGGCCTCAGAAGTGCTGCAGTTATACACCAACATTCAAAGACATTACATTACCTTAAAACTGTGTATGTATCTCAAGGGGAGGGGATATCTGGTCAATCCCAAGCAGAGCAGGAGTTCATTTCTATTCCAAACAGCAAACACCATCCTATTCCCAAACTTGATACCCCATTCCCCAATAAGGATAGAGGAGAGATATGAACATGATCTTCAGAAGCAGATACTGTCTTGGGTTAAACACTAGTGAACAGAATATTTAAATATACTTACATGAAGAGGTATTTGTTCCTTCTGTTGATACTGATATTCTAATGGAAGACTCTATAAAAAATAAAAGTGGAATGAAGCTTTATTGAGTCATGCCACTTGGATTCTTAAATTAGAAATATTGCCAGCCTTGGGTATCACCTAGAACAAGAGGTCTAGAAAATGGTGCAACAGAAAAGCTGAAAGCATCTCAAAGTCAAAGGAAGGTATATGCAATATTCAAAGAATACTTGAATATTCCACAGAGGAATGTTTCTACAGTCTGGATACAAAGACTTCTGAAAGTTGCAAAAGGGGCTGGTCCATCTGCAAAGATATGCCTCCACACACCAAACTGCTCTTCAAATTTCCTAGAACCACTACTCTGAACAGATCCACACTCCAGGTAAGACAGACAATTCCTTTTCTTAGGTTGGTCTTGATTTTAAGAAACTTGAAACCAAAGAGAACACTCTCCACATTCAGAGAGAATGAAAGGCAACTTTCATGCTTAGAGGGAAAAAAAGAAGGATGAAAATATTTTCAGGCAAACTGCTCTGCATAAACATTCTGGCCAAACACAATGCTGAATATAGTCCATGCAGGGTCCACTACAGTGATTACATTAGGATTGAACAAAATGTACTAAATAAATACATAATACAATCATTGGGGATGCACAGCAGCTTGATTCTCTCAGATGGTAAGGCTAAAGGAAGAAAAACCAGTATTTAGGTAAAGCAGAGCATAAAGCATACCTCATGCAAAAATAAAAAAAAAAGCATGAGACCTAAGGGTTTTTATGAGTAAGAACTAAGAACAACTCAGTATCAAAGAAGGATTGAAATTCAGCAGCCATAAAGTTATAAAGATTCAAGTCACATATCCGAAAATAATAGTTACAGTCATTCCAAATTCCCAAGGCAAGCACCCCATAAATCTAAAAGCTCAGATTTGTAACAGCACCTATTGGGATCAGAAAATGAAGTCCGTACATTAAAGAAATGCCAGAGTGAAAGGTGAGGAAATTCAGAAACTCTACAAATTTTTTCTTATCTCCATCTCTCCATATCCCCTCTCTCTCTCATTCTTTTTCTGCTACTCAGAAAAGTGAGATCCTCTTATACTCCAGGATCATACCACCTTACAACACAAGCATATGCCCTAAATATGATCAAAGTGGCCATAGAGAAAACTAGATTTTTTGATTTTGAACAATGACTTTGAAGAGAAGAGGCTAAACTGGGGAAGGTAAGATAGAAAATGGCTGTAAAATCACACGGCCTCTGAGATTAAATATTTATTTGTAAATATTCTAAAAGTTTTGTTAACTACATAATCACAAAGGATAAGAAAAAGTAAAAAAAATAAATTAAATTCACACCAGATGAATGACATTCATGGCTAGTGGAGAAATCAATGAATTAGGGCTATACATGGGTTAGTAGAGTTGGGTTTTAAGTAGCTAATAAATGCTCAGACCACAATTGCTATCAGCACATATTATAGGCAAGTGAGAAACAAACAAAACCAAACAAATCAAAGAAAAAAGAAGCAACAGGATTTTAAAAAGTCAGGCTTATAACAATGCTTCTGCCCAAGTTCAGTGACCCACAACTGAGCATTAAGAGCCCAAAGGTCAGAGGTCAGACAGTGATACATTATCCAGGAATGAACTGTGATGGATGAAGGAGGGCAGAGACCACTAAGAGAAGCACCTAGAAAGATATAAAAGCTGAAGTTACAAGCCAGATATCTCCTTTCCTGGTCTAGTGCTCCTCAAGTTCCATTTAGGTTCTTTTTCTCATGCATGCCTCTCGGGTCCAAGTTCAGACACACAGCAAGAACCATACTCCTTTAAGGAAAATCCAAAAAAGGCAGAATGAACTGGAGAAAAAATGTTGGAGCAGAAAACAGGAGCAGCTGAAATGTGGATGCGGAAGGGGTTCTGATTAGTAGAAGGAAGAGCCAGCTGTGATGCCTGTCGTTCTGGTTAGTAAAACTCGACAAGCTTATTTTCCTTACCTGAAGACACATACGCTGTCTCAGTTGAGGCTGGCATGCCAGTGGTGATCTCTGCAAAAAAGAAAAGTTGATAGGACATTACGATGTACAGTCAGGAGGCTGGGAGTCAGCTCCACAGCCTGCCTTCAAACCAAAAAAATGTGTTTAAAGAAGGAAGTATTGCAAGGAGGTGATGAAAGCCCCGGCTTTATCCACACAGAGAGTGAGAAATGCGAAAAAGAAGACTGTCCAAATAAGTAGTTTTTCCCTCTTGGGCAAAGAGCAGGAGATGGGCTGTGACAGAATAATTAGCAAGAAGTCCCTGCCCCCACTGCACTCGGTGGAGAAGAAAATCTAGCAAAGAGACTGTGGGCTGCTCTTCAGAAAGGAAGACAGAAATGGCAAAACCAGGAAAAATCAAAGCCGGGGGATCAAAGTTGTGGTCAATATTTTTAAATTAGAGATCTCTGGAGAATTCCACTTCTGCCCAAATCAAAAGCAAGTAATGTTTCTAGTTGGGATTGATGAAAAACATCAGGTTCTGGCATCAAACGCTACATAAAATTGCCAATGGTAATCATACAAGTGTCTTATCATTTCAGCTACTCAGGGCAGGGCACGGAGTAAGCAGGCAGCTTCCAACTCAAGGAAATGCAGAATTGACCTGCACACCTCTGGACACACTATCATCGTGGGGATTGTGACAGTGTTGTTCAAACTTTGATTCGCTTTCTAACTGCCTTTTATGATGGCCTGAAGGATGAATATGTTGTCTAACTCTGTACTCATTCAGCTCTTCTGCAAAGAGCTTCAGTTTGTTAAAATCTAATGTTTTCAGTAAGGCAAAGGTTTATGAAGCTTGGCAAGATATAGAGATGCAACAGTGGATATTATTCAACCTTCACTGTGTGTATTATTATTGTCATGCATTATTGTCAGATGACTTAATGATATTCTATTATTCACTATTACTAGCCAGGACAAAAAGAAAAGTAGAATCTTTTAAAAAGATTTTTAAAAGTTACTAGAGTCTACTAAAATCCAGTGTTGCTTAGTTGCTAAGTTGTGTCTGACTCTTTGGTGACCCCACGGACTGTAGTCCGCCAGGCTCCTCTGTACTAAAATCATAAGTATGCCATATATTATCATTTAATGTTGGAATTAATAGCCTGTTAATCATGTAGTTGGAAAAGTTCATGACCAATATAATCATCTTTAAATATAGATGACCACTTAGGGTTTCCCTGTTAGAACTAGACTAGTAGGTAGGATGAATTAATTTAAGTGGCAATATTTATTCATGTTCAGAGGCCCGAAGGATAAATGGTTTGTGGAATTGGGGAAAAAAATGGTTTCTGAGATTCAGTAGGTATGTTTAAGAATAAGCATCAAGTTAAATGAGTATATATAAACATCAGAAATACATCTTTAGTAAGACCAATTATATTTTCTCTCTTGCACATTAATATGGACAGTCCTCTCTAATGAGGCATTAGGAAGACAAACCACTCAAAGTGCAAGATTATCAAGCCACCAGTCACCTACATCAGCTCTCATACCTACTGAAAATGGGACAAAGTCAAAGGAATCCATATGTGAGGATGTATAATGTTCCTGGGACATTCTCAAGCAGCAACCACTAATGAGGATATTGTTTTTTTGTTGTTTTCAGCTAAGCCATGTAGCATGTGAGATCTTAGTTCCCCAACCAGGGATGGAACCCACGTCCTCTGCATTGGAAGCACAGTCTTAACCACTGGGCCACCAGGGAATCATGAACCCTTGACAGGAAAGCCATTGGCGTTATCCTCTTTAGAGTTAACCTGCTGGCAATGGATATAAAAGATGGGGTCTGTAAAATCTCTCTTTCTTGGACATTTATTTCTTGGCTCTGTAGAAATAGTTTTATTAGATCTCCTCTATCATTTCATAATATACTTGTGGACTAAAAGATATAAGTGGTATATAATACCAGTCAATTATGTTAAACTAACACGTCTGCCTGTACCGTGTTTGTCATTAGCCTGAATAGGAAGGCCTTTAAAATTGATTTTTTATGAAAGCCTTTGAATACATCTTGCTTGGTATTATACTCATTCAGTAAAATATTTAATTAGCACTAAGTGTGAACTAGACCCTGTTGCTAAGCCCTAGCAAGCAATCATCCTAGGTAGAGTTAAACCCTTAGTAAAACTGCAATATTACACATGCCTTAATGAGGTCTGAATGTTAAATAAATTGTATACTCACTTTAAAAAAATAAAAAATAAAGACGATACTCCAAGTTGGTAATATGGCAATACCTTGTTTCTGAAGTGGGTACAACTAGCTTTCTTGATATGGGCTGCAGAAAATAAAAATGTTCCTTTTGGGGGAAAAAAATCTAATTGAAGAAAAATCTTATCAAAGGTTCACAGCATTTGTCTTTTTCTATAACTTTCCAAGCAAGTACCCACATGGGGAGTGATGCTTCCTCATTCTGTGCTTGGACTCACCAGTAACACAACAGCCAGGCAGAAGCAGGAAGTTCAGGGTCACAAGAATGGGGCCAGAGTCCCAATCCTAGTATGAAGATCAAGACTCTTTTAAAATTTATTTTTGACAAACCAAGTAGTTGTTCACTGTGACCTTACAAAACAAACCAAAAAAACCAAATAAAGAAACCCACAAACCAAGATTCAGAGCTATTCTATCTCCAGCATAAAAGATATCTCAATGGGAGGAAAGGTTAAAAATATTTCCTTTTTTAATTGAATGACACATAAAACTACCAGAACAGGAGGTTAGTACAAAAATGTATCTACACACAGACAACTTAAAATAACCTCCTTTCCCAAAATTAGATATTTATCCTGGAGACCTTAAAAATATCTTTAGTGATTATGGTTTCAAATAAAAACCTTTTGAATTATCTTGGACGTACTACAAGCTCATGGGCTTCCCCGGTGGCTCAGTGGTAAAGAATCCGCCTGCCAATGCAAGAGATGTGAGTTTTATTCCTGAGTCGGGAGGATCCCGTGGAGGAGGAAATGGAAACCCACTCCAGTATTCTAGCTTGGAAAATTTCGTGGACAGAGGAGTCGGGTGGGCTACAGTTCATGGAGTTGCAAAGAGTCAGACATGACTTAGTGACTAGATAACTACAAGCTAAGAACTTGTACACATCTATACTAAAAGAATCTTGTTAATAAAAAAGTTAATCTTTTTGATTAAAGCCACTAAGGAAATATTTTTATGTGTATTTGGGGTAGAATGTACAGACTGAGCAAACAAGCTTTTGTTACAGTGGTGATTGAAAGTAATCTTGTAACAATTACAGATTGTTAAAAAATTATCAAGTCCTGCAGTCTCCTTGATATTTAAGCAACATATTTTCCCTGAGTAATTTGGTAAATTTTGTTAATTGATAAAGGACACCCCCTTCATTAGTGCAAATTAATAAAGACTTAGAATCATCAAGAATTGAACACAGCTGAGCAGTTTATGCTGCATAGACAGTAAACATATGGAACATTAATGTATTTGTAATGTTTGCTTGTTTAATAAACTGGATCTGGTCTCAAGAAAAAGTTGCTCTGTCTTAAAAATAACACCTTCTGGAAAGGAGTTTTTCTAATTATTATGTATGCATGACTTGCACGAGAATTCATCATGAGCACAATATACTAAATATAACTATTTAGCAAAATACACATAAACAAATACAAGCATACATATGATGTGTCTGTGTGTATTTAAATATCCAATTATGTGACTCTTTATTATTCTAAAATTATAGGTCATTACTGTACATTTGAAAATAGTGATAAAGTATTTATTTTTAAAGATTTAAGAGGGGCATACTTATTTATTAGCACTAGTAAAAATGACTTCAGGAACATATTTAAGCTCATAATGAGTGTTAGTTTTAACACGTTATTGACTGGGGGATTTTTGTAGAAACTAATGCCTGTGGCCTGCGATTTGTTATGTAAGCGGATATTGAAATGTCTCCAGTCAATAACATTTGAGTAACAAAAGACACTTTAATATGTTTCTAGTCAATAATGAGTTAAGCAATTGAGAAATTTTGGAATTAACAAATGGCATAGAGGCAGGATGAATACTATGCATTGAAAAGAGAGTGCTTTTCCACTCAAAGTTCTCTTCCATACTACCCTTCATGGGAATCCTATGTAATGCAATATACATGGAGATTGCTACACAAACTATGTGCTTCTTAGTATCACTATAGGTTGCTGCTATAGTCAAAGATCCATCTAGTCAAAGCTATTGTTCTTCCAGTAGTCATGGACAGATGTGAGAGCCGGACCACAGAAAAGGCTGAGGATCGAAGAACTGATGCTTTCGAACTGTGGTGCTGGAGAAGACTCTTGAGAGTCCCTCAGACAGCAAAGAGATCAACCCAGTCAATCCTAAAGGAAATAAATTCTGAATATTCATCAGAAGGACTGATGCTGAAGCTGAAGCTCCAGTACTTTGGCCACCTGATGCGAAGAGCCAACTCACTAGAAAAGACACAGATACTGGGAAAGATTAAAGGCAAAAAATAAAGATGGCGACAGAGGATGAAATGGTTGGATGGAATCACTGACTCAATGCTCATTAAGTTTGAGCATACTCCGAGAGATAGTGAAAGACTGCCTGGCGTGCAGTGGTTCACAGGGTCAAAACTTAGCGACAGAACAACAACAACATAAGCTGTTCACCAATATCATGGCATTTCTAACAAGACTGTCAATGTGGGTTATCCATATGAGCCAACTTTTTAAAGGATCAATTGATACATTAATCAAATTTTGTAGAAATAATTTTTTTTTCTGCTCATCTAAAATGAAACAGCTATTTTATTGCCAGGAGCCCCATGGCTCCTATGGGATCATGAAACTCACTCAAATAATTTTTCTCCTGATTAAAATAAGAAAACCTAGTAGAAGATATGATTGATTAGCTGTATAGTCTCCTGTATTAATCTTTGAAAAGACAGCAGTACTTAATTAATTTGAAAACTAGTTAGGCCTATTATTCTCTTCCCTAAGCTGATGCCTAGGAGTTTTTAAGAGCTCCTTAGATATGAAGTCATGGCTAAATTAATGTTTCCTCTATAAAGACCAAGCCAAATAAAATACAACTGAAAATGAACATATAGCATAGGGTCTATTTGAGCATGGTGTATGTGGCCTTTTAAACCACTATATTTGAATTCATGAAAAGAACTAACCTATAATCTATCATGTAATGATGACTGCTTTTGTATCCTTCTTTGTAGGAAAACTCAAATGGACTGTGTTAGACTGACATAGTCTCAGAAATCATTAGCAGACTGCATAGGTTTATATATGCTTCTGTATGACAGGTTCTTATTTCCAAATAAGGCAGGGGTTAAAAGGCATTGGAAAAGGCAGAAAACAGACAAATTTCCAAAATGCTTAAGAAAATGACCAGCCAAATATTCTCTTCTAAATGTTTGAAAACATTGGAAATCGGGTCATTGTTTCACTCAAGCATATAACGATTCAAGGGGAATTTCTCAGAGAATTTCTCAGTCTTTTTGTATTATTTCATTTATATTTAGTTGCTAATCTAAGCAGATCTAAACAGTGAGTTTCATTTTAGGATGTTTATAACATTAGATGGAAGGTCTTTATGATCTGTGCTAATTTCGTTCTAATAGTTACATGGCTGTCATAATGGGATTAAAAATAGTGTCAAACAACAAGCTCAACTGGCTAAATTTTTCTTTTTCTCCTAAGAAGAAAAGAAAACACAGTCTCTCATGCATTTTTCCCCCTAACTCCTGCCATTTCTCTTAAAATCTTGTCTTAAAATATGTTCTAAACATCTTAATGCAAAGAAAGCACTGGTGTGAGAATTTAAGTAAATCACAAGAAATCCTTTGCACGGAGCTAGGATAATTAGCTCAGGGCTGTATTCCAGGATCCTTCATCAAGGCAAGCTATGTAGAAATTATCAAGCTATAGTCATGTATTTAATGGAGAAATATGGGAGAGATGAGTGAGACCACACAAAACAAGCAAAATGACTAATATTCCACAGACAACATAAAATCTCAAGAGGAGTTTGACATCGTATAATATTTTGGCAACATGTTCTTATTTTTAAGACTTTTTTTCCCTAACAGTCTCACCATGGCGGGGCGGTGGGGGAGATTATTGAGAATTCTACTCTCTCAGCCCAAGTCAATGGTAAATACATATCTAAGAAGAGATGGTTTGGCTGAGTGACAGCTTATAACCACAGTAGAGCATTCTTTTTCTCTCTGAAAGAGTGTTTCTGTGCAACCTCTGCCCAGAATCTTGGAAGACAGGAATTTGACAACATGAAGGTAGTGAATTTGAGTCCCTGGGAGCTCAGGATCTGAGACTTCTTGGATAACCAACCTTGAGCTGAATATAGCAAATTCATAGATCACAGTAGAAGGGGGTGAACATCAGAATGATTATGTATTTTCCTTCTGGCGGTGCTACAACCAAGCTGCTGAGATGCAGGGAGAAAAGAGCGTTTCCCAACGTGCAGAATGCTCTGGCCCTGTCTGTCCTGGTGCCTGAGAGTACAGGCTCTGATGAACTGCACGTCTGACCCACAGCCTCGGAAAAGAGGAGCATTTCTAGGCAGCCATGTTTCTGGCTTCACTCTCCTGGACTGGGCCCATGGTGGGGACCTGGGCAGAACACGCTGATGAGCTGTAAGCTCTATGGATCTTTGGGTGTGATCAGATCTGCCAGTCAGGTTCTTGCTATGGGGAATCTGATTTGGCCCCTGAGGCAACAATCACACAGTCAGAGCCAAAAGTGACAAGCTGCCTTCAAAAGAAACAGGAAGAATATGGCCAAATGGAACGGTAATCAGGTCAAAGTGTGGAATTACAAAGGAGCGTAAGTGAAAGCAGGTTAGAAAATACAAGGAAGAGTCAGCAAGTGAAGAATGTATCTGGGGACCTCAGGGCAGAGACTTGAGAGGGAGTCAAAAACTCCTGATGCTTACACTTGTAAAGACACCCTAGGTACCATTTGCTCCTGGAACCCCAGTTATAATGAAGCTCTAGTTCGTCCCAGTGGAATCCCTCTCTTTCCGCCTCACACCCATTTTTTTCTTTTCCAGTTTTCGTCCTTCACAAATCAAAGAATCTACCTTAAATATTCACAAACACACAGTCTGGTATTGAGCAAGCTGTACTGAACCAGGATGTAAGGAATTTAAAACAAATCTTAGGTCTCCATTTCTTTTTAAATACAATGAGAAGGTTGGATATGGAAGACCTAGTCTTAACATTCTAAGAAGAAAATAGAAACAACCACCTTGCACAGTAATTGAGATTCTTCATTCCTCCCTTCTAGTCCTTACGGAATTTTAGTTGATTGTTTAAGGATGATTTCCTCACAATATTTCATGACCTTCTCTTTTTTCTTGTCAGGTAAAAAAGATTGACTATCCAAAACATCCTTATTTTCATTTCTCTACACTTTATAGTTGGTCAATACTACATTCAAATTCGAGATCAATTCTTAAATAAATTAATATGGAAAATAAGCTGAATATCTCTCCCATGAAAGGGATGTGAAAAACAGTTATTATCAAAACTTCAGCACTTCCAAATTAATAAAAAGAAATCCTATGAGTTTTTGCCAATAAAATAGTGGTAAGTAATTTACTGCTTGATACTGTAATTCAGAAAATGTGGAATATTAAATATAATCCTACTGTAAGCACTCAGTAAAACTATGACACTTTAATTCTATTTTCCTGGGACTTTACAGTGTACATAGCTACACAAATCTAATCCAAGTGTTCAAATATAATTCAGTAGCCTTTACCAGGAGAAGATGCACTGAACCAAGTCACTGACAAACTGAGAAAAAGCTATTAAACATGGTATTATAGAAAGAAAAAATTAGTCATTGAAATTTCAAATTTGCATTTCTAGTTGCATCCTATAAAAGTCCAAGTGGAACAAAATAACACAAGCAAAACCCTGTTGCTTTACCTATGCTGATTAAAAAGTAAAGTGATGTTATATTTACTGACATAAATTTTAAATGGCTTTTACATTTTAAACAGTAAACATGGCCCATAAAAATAATCATGGAAACCAGTTTTCACTGTTGTCTTTTACTTTCTGTGGAGGGAGGTATTCAAAATGAAAGAAATGAACTTTGATTACACTGCAATAGAGCAATGCATTGGGAAGTCCACACAAGACTAGGAATTAACCTGAATATTTCCTGAATATTAACCTGAATACTCCCAACCCTGTTCCATATTTTTATCTCACTCCCTTCTCCCTATCCTGTTATCAACTGAATCAAACCACATCAGTCTTCTAAGGAGTTAACCCCTAAGAGTACTTTTACTCTTCCCTTGTTGGGTCTGTAATTTTGTCTTATCACTTTTAAGAGATCAGGCCTTTGCAGTGGGCATTCTTTCTCATCACCTGCCTAGAAGTGGTGCAATTATGCTTGGTTTTATAATAGATGACAAGGCTTGTGAAGACAGCAGTCTAGTGCCAACATCCAAAACAGCACCAAAGGTTTCAAAGTAGCATTTTATTGTTTCAAGAGACTTAGATGCTCACTGCTAGCTCGACATCAGTTTCTATAGATGACTCCATCACTTTGTGGAGTACTAACGGATCGTGGACAGAGAGACACCAGCTATGCGCTTCCTTTACCCTTCCTCAGATAACTCAGAGGGGTTGTCAGAGGATAGGGGGCACCTTCTGTCTCCAACTTATTTATTTGTTTAACAAATAGCCTCTGACACTGCTCTTAGGAAAACCGAAGCTGAAGCCTATATAAATGCTTATTTATAAAGCCTATACAAGTGAGTTAAAAATGTTTTGCCTCTAAGACTCTCTTGATTTCTGAATTAATGGGCTCAAAAAACCCCTGATAAGCTTAACTTTCTACTACCTAGAGCCAGATATATTGAAAACATATATAAGAACATAAACTTGCCAGGACTAAGTCACGATTGTATTCTGTTTACACACACACAATGTACATATATTCATACATAATACACATTAGTATGAAATATATACAATATATATTCTGTATATAAATTATATATACATATATACATGCATACATATTCTGTTTTGACAGAGCAAAACACTTACCTGCTGTCCCTGACTAACCTAAAGTGGAGGTATAATCTCTTTCTTTCAGCAATCCATTCTGTCTCTGCTGTTCATGATATGATTCCAATCCTTTTTGAATAATCTATGTATATTTCAGGTCTATTTCACCTTATGGCGTGAAGAGCTTTACAGGAGGACCCATAAGGCATTTCACACATAGGGTTTTCCTTTCACGACTTTTATTTGCTCACAAGGAGATTTAACTCACCTATGTGACCACACACCTTGCTCACTCCTCTTAGAGACTGAGACATAGCACGCAGTAGGCATCTCTTACCGTTTGACTCCACAATAGTGATGTTGGCAGAGGCACTGTCATTTCCCAGTTTGCTGATCACTTTGCACATATATTCTCCCGAATCAGCCAGTGACGCTTTGCTAATGCGAAGTTCTGATTTCCTACAAGATCAGGACCAAAGTGGTTTAAGTATATCTCACAGAAATACGATGATCATCAAAATACAGTCTCTGCAGTTTTAGAGTTTTCAAACTCCCCCTTCTCACTCTGCACACACAACTGACTGGACTTCCCTGGTGGTCCAGTGGTTAAGATTTGCCTGCCAATGCAGGGGACATGGGTTTGATTCCTGGTCTGGGAAGATGCCACATGCCTCGGAGCTACTGAGCCAGTGCACCACAGGAAGAGGAGCCTCTGCTCTCTGCAACCGGAAAAGGCCCTGGGGCAGCAGCAAAGACCCAGCACAGCCTTAATTCATTAATTAATTCAAAAATGGTCTACATCCAAAAAATCTTTAAAAAAAACCCCACAACTGACTAGTAGATATATATATATATGCATATATATATATGCATATATATATATATATATATATATGATTTTACCAAAATCACCCCAAAAGTGAGATACATCTCATTTAAATTATACCTTGGACATAGTCTTAATTTCATCACCCAGATCAGCAGTTTAAAGGAATTCTTTTCTAAGTTTTCTTTTTATTCCTCTAACACTACCACTAACCACATTACGCTTCAGAATATTTTTTCACCCAAATGTCAAATTTTCTTTCCTCTGTATATCTCAGTGTCAGCAGCCAATAGGGTTAATTAAGGAGGATAAAGAAGTATAAAGCTGTTTCTTGTAAGTCTGGTAAGGACAGATACTTCAGTGAAGGCTAGACTAGATTAAAATGCTCTACACTTCTTAGAGTGACATCAGGAATTACGTTAATTTTGAATGAAGAGAATGTAATACTTCCAAAAGAAAGGGAATTTGTCATTCTTTAAAATGATTCTCATTGCTGGGAACACCATACCACACAAATGGTTCTTAATATAGAAATAAATATTCATGCAACAATAACACACACTTTCATAAAACTACATATTAAATCAATATTTGGCACTCTTTCTGAACATGGGCAACATTGTGATTTGCATCTGTCCATGCTTTACTATTGCACAAGCCTATAATTTAAGCAGTGCCTATGATTTAAAAACTCAGAACTACTGGGATTGGCTCAACATTTATTAAAGCCTTTCTAAGGTGTCCTTATATACAGGAGCCTGATATTGACAGCCTGGATTTCTGAGAGGAGGACAACAGGGAGAAAACAGGGCAGAAAGCAAAGACAGCAACTCAGAAGTATATGCAATCCTCCTATAAATTTATTGGTGGCGTTATTGAGTCGCTAAGTCCTCTCTGACATTTTGCGACCCCATGGACTGCACCCCGCCAGGCTCCTCCGTCCATGGGATTTCCCAGGCAAGAATACTGGCGTGGGTTGCCATTCCTTCCCCAGGGGATCTTTCTGACCCAGGGGTGAAACCCATGTCTAACCCAAAAATGTGGATTGTTTACCGCCAAGCCACCAGGAAAGCCCTCCTGTAAATTACACCCTCCTAATTTTAAGTGAATTTTTTGGTCTTCTTGTCATATACTATTATTAATCAGGTTGGATCAATTATTCCAAATTTAATTTCTACTCTTCTCCTCCTCCAGTCTACTGAATTAATCCACCCTCCTCCACCTGCAAGTGTAAGTTTTATGGCCTGCCATCTTCATGCTTTGCTTGTGTATTTCTTCATCCTAGAATGGGTACCCCATATTTTGACCCATCAAGATATTAGCTGATCTTCAAGGACCATCTCAAGTGCCAATTCCTGCATCAAGCCTCTCATGATCATGTAGCTGGAGCTGCTCTCTCTCTCTTTGGTCTCATTTCTGCCAGCCTTGAGTAACTCTCTCAGGAGAATCTTCTTAAAGAAATAGAGTAATGAAATTTACAGTTAACATGAGCTTACAGTTTAATCTGACAGCGATAGCTCTTAAACTTCTCCTAAAAGACCTGGGCAGTGTTTACTGGAATACTCTTCCAAGGAATGTAAGTAAATGTTATGCTTAAAAAGAGAAACAGAGACACAGACGTAGAGAATGGACTTGGGGTGACAGGGAGAGAAGGGGAGGGTGGGATGAACTGGGGGATTGGAATTGACGTACATACACTACCGTGTTTTAAACAGAGAGCTAGTGGGAAGCTGCTGTAACACAAGGAGCACAGCTTGGTGCTCTGTGATGACCTAGAGGGGTGGGAGGGAGGCTAAGAGGGAGAATATATGTAGCTATTCACACTGTTGGACAGTAGAAACTAACCAAACATTGTATAGCAATCATGCGTGCAAACTCAGTTGCGTCTGATGCTGCAACCTCACGGACTGTAGCCCACCAGCCTCCTCTGTCCATGGGATTTCCCAGGCAAGAATACTGGAGTGTGTTGCCATTCCAAGCAGTTATACTCCAATAAAAAAATTTAAAAAACAGAGAAACAGAAAGACAATAAGAAAAAAAAAAAAGAAATGTTCTGCACTCAACTAATGTTTCTTTAAACAAGCAGATTTCTTTACAACCTACCTCTTAGTCATTTTTATGCAGTTACAGTGAATTTCTAAGGCAGGCATGAGAAGTGACTAAGAAATCCTTTTTGTAGAGACACCCTTGGGAATTCTAGGACTGTGCATCAATGGGCCAAGACCAAGAATCAGTGTAATCAAGATAAGCATAACAAATACATTCAGGTTCAAAAATCAGTAGCAGAAATACAGGCTGGGAGAGAAGAGCCTTGACAACAATGTATACAGAAAAAAGGGTTTCAATTAGCCACATGTATTAATATTACTCCATTTTAAACAACTATTTAAAAAAGAAGAAAAAAGTACTACTGTTTGGCCAAATTAATATTAAAAGAGCATAAACCAAATTGGATAAAATTCTCAATACAGTACTTATAGGCTGGATCATATCTGGAGTATTGAATTATGCTTCAAAGTGGCATTTGATAAAAAAAAATATCAACAGCTAGAGGACTTTAGAAGAGGGTGATCAGAATTGAATACAGCCTACATATCTTAACACCAGAGAAGATGCTATTAAAGTAAGAAAGGTTCCACTGGCATGGAGCTATGAACAAGATATATAAATATATTCCATCTTTATTATCTGGAAAAGGAAAGTATTTGGTGAAGCTCTTGAAGGTAGATTTATGCCTTATAGGAAAAAGAAGGGATATTTTGGATGATATATAAGGAAGGACCTTTTGAGTGTTCAATAAGGATAGGATGTCATGTGAAAGAGGTTTTCTATTTAGACAGATTCGAGTCTGGATTGCCACCTGTCAAACAGTTCCTAACAAGAATACCTCTATGCAGAAAAGATTTAATTAGATCAATGGTTTCAATTAGTTTTGAAAAAATAAATCCTGTTTTTAAATGAAAGCTTAAATGAGAGCTGCATATTTAAAAACATTATGAAGGGAGAAAGCATTTATGTCAAAGAGGTTGGCAATCCTTTTTGCAGTTCAATGGAAACTCAAATTTCTCCAGGGACACAAAAAAACCCTTTGAACTATAATGATACATTTAACTGTGAGATTCTGCAATCCTTGGGTCTTAAAACAGGAATGGGAAATAGTGAGAGAGCAGAAGCAGAGAAAACTTTCTTGAAAATTATACAATGTAACCATTTGGGGCTTTAATAAGTATGGCTATAGTTTAATTTTACTTTCTTCAATAGGCTACTATATCTTGTCTATAAGAAGAAAGTTAACTTGGAAGAATGAATGAACTCCCAATCACAAAATTAACTTTTTGCTCTTTAATTGATGAGTTATCTGGGGTTCTGGGAGGGATGCATGTTTTGGTGGATTTTCATTTTCTAAAAGCTTTAAAAGAGTTAATTCATACACAGTGTTTAAAACAATGTTTGAAATAGAGTAATCTCCCAGTAAGTGTCTGCTACTATTATAATGACATTCTAAATTTCTGCAATTTTTAGATTTTCCTAATAAGCATGCATTGCTTTGGATTAAGAAAAAATGATGTTATGTAACAATAAAGCAATAAAACATTTATAAATGGAAGTTACATAGATTAACTTCTTTTTTTATATCAAAATATAAACTGTGTTCTTTTAATCAGTGCTCACTCACAAGGTAGATTCAAGGTTTCCATAGCTGTTTATCTCATTTTTCATACTTAATTCTTCTACCATATTTTATAGGCAAAGGCAAATTAAATGCATATAGAAAAGATCAACTCAGTTTATATAATCCAGTTCTTCTGATCCCTAAGGAATCATATGTGAATTCTCGTGTGTATGTTAACACAGCTCAGATACTGTTGAACTGCCAATGAGAAGGGTAAAGAAAGAGAGGGATTTCATAGTGCAAACTACAGAATGTCAGTCGTCATCTGGTTCTACCAGAATGAAGTCACTTGCCACTGCAGCAACTATGAAACTCTACAGAACCAGACACTGCATAAAACGCTTCACATAAATGCTATGAAACAGACACTGGTTATTCCCATTTTATACCTAAGGAGTCTGAGATCTTCTTACATATAAAGTTAAAATGACCTGTTGGAGTAGCTCAACTAATAAAAGAAAGAGATGAGTCTACACCTCTTCTATTAAGAGTCAAAAAACCCTGAAACAACTGATAATAGGAGTAATCATTCCTGATTTTTTTTTAACTTGACCAAACCAATTAGAATCAATTTTAAACAAGAGTATAATATGTAAGAACAGGGTATTCCCTGGCAGCACAGTGGTTAGGACTTTCACTGCCAAGGGCCTGTGTTCAACAGGGAACTAAGATCCCGCAAACCACGAGGTGAGTCCAAAAAAGAAAAGCAAGAACAGAAATGAAGAGCTGATATAAAATTGTTGTTGTTTGGTCAATAAGTTGTGTCCGACTCTTTTGCAACCCCACTGACTGTAGCCCACCAGGCTCCCCCATCCATGGGATTTTCCAGGCAAGAATACGGGAGTGGGTTGCCATTTCCTTTTCCAGGGGGTCTTTCTGACTCAGGGATGGCACCCATTGGCAGGCGGATTCTTTACCACTGAGCCACCATGGAAGCCCCTGATACAAAATTAAGAGCATCCAAAAATGTGCACCACACACAAACAACAGGAAGTCAGCCTTTAATAAGACTGCTGATTCATGTCAATGTATGGCAAAAACCACTACAGTATTGTAAAATAATTAGCCTCCAATTAAAATAAATAAATAAATTTTAAAAAAAGACTGATACAAGACAGGTATGCAAGTGAAGCCAACAGGCAGACCTGAAATATAACCTGTCACACAACCAAGCTCTTTAACCAGTTTTCTTGATCAAAATCATCCACCAGGCAAAGGAAACAATAACAAAGGGATAAGTAGACACTTAAGACCAGGGCAGCTTCTATTTCTTTTAATTGGTCCCACACCTTGCTCAGCCAAATAAAACAAACAAAAAGGCTCACACATGAATGCAGAATCATAGGAAGAACATGTACGAATGTCATTTATTAGTAGGAGCAGGGGCTGAAGAGGGGATAAGACTTTACAAAATAATAGTGATTCCCTATTGGTGTAAAATCTTTTCATAACACTAAGGGATTAAAAGGAAATTCTGACTGTTACAAACAATCTAGATTATAAAATGTGAAAAAGAAATCTAGGCGAAGGATTGGAAGAGAGTCAACATTTTACTTTAAATAAAGAGGGTCCCAGGGAAATCCTAAACCTTACACTAAAATTCACCTCTGCTTGTGATCATAGCCTAAGAGACAGTTTATCCCTTCTTGGCCTGTTGGCTAAGAGCAAATGTAGTAAGATAAAGTTAAGTAAGCAAGTAACCACTACAAATTGTTAACATTTTGAAATGTCTTTATAATGAAAAATTATGAGCATGTAGAGGAAGCTGACAAATAAGAATGCTTTTTATTAAGCAGTTTAAGCCTAAACAGGTCCCTTGCCTTAAACATGTTATGACTTCACTGGATACTACGGCAAAATCACAAGTAGCTGTGAAAAAGACATGAGACATGGAGTGAAAAACACAAAAGGCATAGATACAGATCAATTTCAAGTCCAAGAGTAACCATTTATTAACATTAGATCTACAGGAAGAAACCTAATTTCCTTCATTCTCAGGATATTAATTTTTTAAAGGGTATAATAACAATAGTATCCATTCTCTTATAAGTTGAAAGTTGAAATAATAGAGCATCTTGCAAATGTTAATTAAATTTAGATTCAGTTTGATCCCTTAAAAAAGACAGCACTAATTTTTTTTTAAAGATACAGCCTCAGAAATGACCAAATACCCAATTCTGAAACCCAATTAGCTGATCACTTATCAGTGGCTGCCCACTTTACACAAAGTGTCTTATTTTTGGAGGCTCAAAAATGTTCAATGCTTTGCCAAGAGTCATTTGCAGTCACATTACTTGAATAAAATTCTTTCTTTTGTTCCCACTTAATTCTTTCCAGCAAGGCTATTGTTTAAAAGAAGTAATTTCTGAACACTGGCCTTTCCGGGATAATGGGATTTTATTAATATGTAGACAGTGCTCTTAGCTGTCTGAGCCTATGAAGCCAATGTGAAAACGCCTTTCTGAATACTAATGACACTTTTATATGTCATCCAAGCCATGTAACAAATTAGTTCTGTACCTGTACACGTGCTCTTTCGGACCGTATTCATTCCGGGGCGGGTCTCTGTTTTTGTTGTTGTTTTTCCTTTTTGTCACCTTATTTATCCAACCTATTCAGCTTTTTCTCTTCAGGTATCCTCACCTTAAATACCTGCAGTCCGCAGCTGCTTCATTCTGTTCCTTCAGCCTGGATAATCCTCTCCGCCTTCCCTCCCTCCTCCCCTTCTTTCTAGGAAGCCTCCACAGTCCAGGACTGGGTCCCCTCCACCATCCTTGTGCGTACCTTTCTAAAGCCTCCTGTGATCGTCACTATCATCAAATTTAAAACTGAGAATTATAACTGCTTGTATTTCCCTTCCCCACTTGAGACCAAGCCTCCGAGACAGCATGCACTTTCTGTTCATCTCTCTGGACCCAGCTTCTAGACCAGGACCAACACACAGCATCTTGTCCAAGGAAGGGCAAAATTTCCCATCCACTCTCTCACTGGCCCAACTCAATTGGCCTCTTTATTGTCCTATAAACAGAACCTGCTACTGCTCTACTCTATAACCCACCATACCCATCCAGGGGGTCTCTCTCTTTTTAGCAGAGTCCAATCCACCCCCTCACAGTGATTCCTGAAGCTCCTGGGGTCTTCCCCACTTCCCAACTCCCACTGCACTGAGCATCAGTAACGTGCAATTCAGCGCTTAGTTTTACTGTTTGATATTCAGTGTTAGATATTTCGTTTCCCTAATTATTAATAAATTTAACCTCCCACAAGGTAGAATTTACCTCAGCATAAATAATCAAGTTTTTAGACTACTGTTTGCAAATAGATGGGCTGCTTAAAAATCCTGAAGCCCCCCAGCCCTAACAGGATTTCAGCACTTGATTGCTTCATATAAGGCTGTACTAGATAATCTCTACAATCTTTCAATGCCCTGAGTAGAAAACACCCTAGGATTCTTTCATTTCTCCACATTTCTAGCATATAAGCTTTTCGTGGGCTCTTAAATATTTTTGCTCTCAACTAACAGCCACATAGAAACAAATGAGACATCACTCCATTTATGCAGATGACTGTTTCTTACTAACCTGGCTTGAGACATCACTCCGCTTATGCAGATAACTGTTTCTTACTAACCTGGCTAATTGTTAAAAAACAAAACAGACACCAAAACCTAGCTAAAAGTAATTTTTCTTTGTTGTTAAACTTCTCAAAAAGAATCATGCTTGTTTTTTCAATTTGCTGTCTCTCCTCCCTTCCCCACATGGACACATGTGATAAAATATGTCTGCTTTCCATTTTTAAAGAAGGAGAGAGACATCAAGGAATTCGAGACATTGATTTGTGTTCCAGCTTATTCATAGCTAGTTGGGTGACTCAAGGAGAGACAACAGTTTTTTGACCCTTGATTTCTTAACCTGCAAAATTAGAGTCACCATGGGCAGTAAATTGCCTTTACTACCTAGGGGAAAATTGTTAAAAAAAACCAAACAAATAAGATTATATACAAAAGCATTCTGTCACTTCATAGAATTATTCTTTTTTGTATATTTGAAGTACCACCTGCTACAGTGATATTCCCTTCTGTATTATTCTTCCAAATCAAGACACTGTACTGACACAATCAATAAAAAGGATAAGCAGAGTAGTTACTAAAACCATTGAGACAAGAAAGCATCCCTAATTATAGCTCTTACAGTCATTAAACACTTTGGTAAGATAAAATTCATTTCCCTTACATCACTTTATTTTTTCTGGCTCATGTGTGTCTGATTTTTTTGGTATTTGTCCTATAATATAAAAGTCTAGGAGGTACTTCTCATTGTTGCTTCATATATCATCTCTGGGATGTCACTGGAATCCTCTGAAGTTTAAGTAGAGAAAAGGTCACCTTGGACCTGTGAACCCCTATGATACATGTCACATTGATGAAAGGACTGTTCACAAGCAAAAATCCAAGACGTTTAGCTCTTCTGTAATTTCAAAATTTAGTTTGAGATTAGAAGTAAATGTTCTTAAATAAGGAGAAAAAAAATGAAGAAAAAAATAAGTAAAAGAGCATCATTTTAGAGTAGGTATAGAATACAGATGTTATAGGGGGGGTCACATGAAGCCTTCCCAAATAGGAATCTCCTTAAGAAGGGCAGGAAAACTTAAGATTCTTGCTACTTAGGATTACTAGATATTTTAATCTGCTCTCATGGTGATGGAGCTTAATAGAATTGTCAGTTACACATTAATTTTACACATTAAATTTACTTGAGGGTAGTTCAGATTCAACTGATTACATTCTAACTCTTCACATGATGATATACGTTTAGTCGCTAAGTCGTGTCTGACTCTCGTAAACCCACAGACTGTAGCCCGCCAGGCTCCTCTGTCCATGAGATTCTCCAGGCAAGAATACTGGAGTGGGTTGCCATTTCCTTCTCCAGGGGATCTTCCCAACCCAGGAATCGAACTCGGGTCTCCTACATTGCAGGCAGATTCTTTCCCAACTGAGCTTGATCGTGTAAGGCACAGGTATTCTATACAAGATTTTAGGATCTCATCTATTACTTAGTATTACAATAGCACCTATTAATATTTTTTTTGTTTTTAAAAAATTTTTGTTTTGAATTCTTTTTTAAATTTCTTTTTTCACTGGAGTATAACTGATTTACCACTTTGTGTTAGTTTTTCTGCTGCACAATGAAGTGAATCTGATATATATATATATATCCCCTTCTGCTTGGACCTCCCTTGGTCCCACCCCTCAGGTCATCACAGAGCACTAGCTGAGCTTTCTGTGCTATATACAGCAGCTTATTATTAATATTATCTTCTCTCACCCCTTCTACTTCTAGCCACATGTTACAGTCCTTTCCACATCCATCCTTCCTTTCTTTCTCCAGAAGTTGTAAGATGACATACTTTAAAATTCTTTCCTATCTAATGACCCAATTCCTGGCCCCCATATTACAAAAAATCTTTTCATTGATCACATATCCTGTTTTTTTTGATGGTATCCTTATTTACTAAGCTGTTAGTAATTTTTGTATTTCATACCATCGTGTTGCTAGGCATGGAATCTGCTGTGCACCGCAGGATACTCACCCTGGCCTTTTCTGTATCTTGATGTTTTGTGGTTTGTTCTTTCGGCTTAATTCACTCCCATTCTTGAACCACTTGAACTTGAGAGAGGAGTATTCAGAACTGGTCTCGCACCGAAGCACTAGTTTAGAACCTGCCACAGACTCCTGACTCTTCATCTCTTTCAAGCGGGGAGGCAAGGCTAAAAGAGAAAAGAGAAGGAAAAAAGTTCTGATCACATGGTTCTCTTCCCAAGAGAAACATGTTCATTTTGGTGAGCCTGATCAAGAGGCTTTACTAACTGAGACAGAAAAGAAAAAGGGGAAGGGGGTATCAGTCAAAATGTATCTCAGCTTAGAGAATAATAAAAATGCTCAGATAAAATATATTCAGGGGGAAAAAGAGAACTTAGGTTATAAAATTATTCTTTGAAACAGACACACAGATATAAAGAAGAAACTAGCAGTCACCAGTGGGGATAGGGAAGTGGAGAGGGGCAATATATATGTAGATGATTAAGAGGTACAAACTATTAGGCATAAAATAAGCTACAAGGACATGCTGTAGAACACAGGGGGCATGGCCTTTATTTTATAATAATTATAAAATATAGTGAAAGTGTTAGCTGCTCAGCCGTGTCCAACTCTTTGTGATCCCAGGGACTGTAGTCCACCAAGCTCCCCTGTCCATGGGATTCTCCAAATAAGAATACTGGAGTGGGTTGCCATTTCCTTCTCCAGGGGATCTTCCCCACCCAGGGATCAAATCCCACTCTCCTGCATTGCAGATTCTTTACTGTCCAAGCGAAGCATAAAGCATAAAATATAGTACACCATTTAAAAATTGTGAATCACTATATTGTGCATCAAGTCTACTTCAATAACAATCTGTTCTTTAAAAACATTCTAAACAATACACACACACACACACACACATACATATATATTCAAGATAGCAATTTCTTCCATCTTTACATCCTCTGGTACTATTAAAAATCCTGAAGACTGGTCATTTCAAAGAATCAAAATCTTATGCTAAAGAATAACAGGTAACTGGGCCATTATTTCTAAAGCACATTCACATCCCCACCCCCACCCCCCAGATCACAATTAATCTGCATGACAGTTCTGTGAATATGTAAAACAGGTATCACACCCATTTTTTCCAGCGACAGGTTAAGTGTCTCTTGGTCACGGTTACAATATCTGAAGAGTCAGAGTTAGACTACTCTATCAACAGGAGAAATCCAGAGAACAAAGAGGACTCATACATCTTAACAACACTCACTTCTTCAAGACAGGAATTCTTTGGTGACATCACTCTTTCTTTGGTGACAACACTTTTATTGGGTCTACAGATACTCTCCCACAAACAACAAATGACCTTTCCAGAAGACCACCATACTCCCATCAGATTATCAGTTTGATTGGATTTCACCCTTCTAAATCTTCTCAACAGAGACAGGATAGCACTTATATTGTGCATTAATTTATAGGACACTTTATGTGGCTCAGCTGGTAAAGAATCTGCCTGCAGTGTGGGAGGCCTGGGTTCGATCCCTGGGTTGGGAAGATCCCCTGGAGAAGGGAAAGGCAACCCACTCCAGTATTCTGGCCTGGAGAATACTATGGACTGTATATTCCATGCGGTTGCAAAGAGTTGGACATGACTGAGTGACTTTTAGTCACTCATTCACTTATATTAAATGCTTACATACCATTACTATTTTAAGCAAGACCTATTTTAAGCAAGACCTATTTTAAGCAAGTACCTATTCTCTACTGTAATCTTTATGGATAAAATGTTGGAATATCTGAGATTTACTTCAATATGAAATGGTAGTGGGGAATGTGCTAAGTTGCTTCGGTCATGTTCAACTCTTCGCGACCCCATGGACTGTAGCCCACCAGGCTCCTCTGTCCATGGGATTCTCCAGGTAAGAATACCGGAGGGTGTTGCTGTGCCCGCCTCTAGGGAGTCTTCCCAACCCAGGGATGGAACCTGCGTCTCTATATAACTAGCAGACTGGTCCTTTACCACTAGTGCCCCCTGGGAAGGCAGTGGGGAATGGTTAGGCATAAAAATGAAATAAATTCCCCAAGAAGTTGACTGTGGTAAGTCAGTCAATACAAAGAAGCAGGGATTTAGTATACGACTCTTTTTTAAGATTTTTTAAAAATGTAGGCCATTTTAAAACTTTTTATTGATTTTGTTACAATATTGCTTCTGTTTTATGTTTTGTCTTTTTGACCACAAGGAATATGGGCTCTCAGCTGCCCAACCAGGGATCCAACCTTCACCCTGGCATTGGAAGGCAAAGTCTTAACCACTGGACTGCCAGGGAAATCCATGCAATACTATATAGTATGTCTGGGTTTTTTCCCCCCATAATAAAACAGTTTAAAAAATAAAAGCATATTGAATGGATTTTCCTCTGCACACATAATTTCACTTAATCAACACCACAGAAAGTGATGTCAACATCTCTGTTTCCACTGAGTCTTACAAAAGCCAAGTACAAAGTCTATTTCTGCCATAGTTCAGGACTTAATGAGAAGTTAATTCTTCAAATCCACGAAGAGACTGCACCTCTCAGACCCACTGAGCAATTATTCACTGTGTACAGCATCAAGACTCCAAGGATGGCAATCAGAACCATGTTAAGCACGAACAGGAAATGGTGTACCTTTCCCACTCTGCATATATTTATTTTTCTACAACTCTGCCCTTACCAAGAAAATCCCTCCAAAAATGTCAGGAATGAGTATATAAATTTTCCATTAAATCACAGCAAAAACTATTTGAACGCTGTGACTTCTTAAGTGTCCCTACAATTACACATCCCCTTTTTTCTTATTTAGAGGCCGGGAGATGAGGTGGAGAAGCAGACACTAAATGTGAAGACACAGCAGCAAGTTAGAAAATTGTATCAATATTTCAGCTGTTCTTAGCCTCTGACACCTGATGATTTTCTCTGGTTATTTTTTTTTTTGACAGCTTGAAAATAAGATTTACTTCCTGAAGAGCTTTCCTAGAATCCTTCCCTTTAAGATGTGGTCCACGAATTTCTGTTCTGGACGTTTTAAAAAACAGACTAAATTTTTATCTATCTGGTATAGTATTTGTATATTCCTATTAACTCCTTAAGATCATTTTCAATTTTGTAAACCTAGTAAAGAGTTTTAAATGATACCAAAAAACTGGTTTACATCTATTAAGAAAAATAAACCACCTCATTCTTTTATGTACAGATTAAAAGAACTAGTTTGAATTTTTGTTGTTGTTTTCACTTAATTTTGTACTGAGCTTGGCATACAGCTCAGATTTTCCAGGTTCATTCCCTTGTCTCTATCCAAAATGTTCTAAACCAATATTTGAGATGTCCTTAACTCTCATGAAGTACCATGTTCCCTCACCCACCTCTCCATTCATTTGCTTACCAATACAGTCTGAACACAAATCTACTAGATTTTGTCATCTTGTTTGAAATCTTCGTGAAGTCCATTTGCATCTCTTTTTACTTTTTTCTTCTTATTCTATTCCACTGTCTCTTTCTGTCACCTCTCCTTCCCCATTCCCCTCCTATCTTCATTTCTTTATTTATTATGACTTTAGTTAAGAGTCTTGATTTCAAATGTGAGGAAACAATTGGACAAATTCAAATTGAAGGTTATTTGACAAAACAGCTGGTCTAGGCTCCAGGAATGTAAATGTCATGAAAGATAAAACACTGTGAAACTGATGTAGATTAAAGAGACTGACAAATGCAATAGACTTTGACTAGTGATTGGATCTTGCTTCAGGGAAAAAATAGTTATAAGGGACATTATTAGGACTACTGGGGAAGTCTGAATAAAGCTCCTGTATCAAAATTAAGTTTCTCAAGTGTGATAACTGCATTGTGGTCACACAGAAGAATGCCCTTGTTGTTAGGCAGTATTTGCTGAAATATCATGATATCTACAACTAAATTTCACATGATTCTGCAAATAAGGATGTACATGCATACATGCATGTGCATGCACACACACACACACACACAGATAAGGGAGGAAAAGGAATATTGGTTTCTATTAGCTTTTTTGCTTTTTTAAAATCTGATCTTTCTGCCATTAAAAAAATCTCAAGCTTTCAGTAAATACTTTTGAAGTCTTGGCTAAATTTGAAGTCACTGAGATTCTTGGGAATATTTGTGTTGCAACTTACAAATGTAGCTCTTAAGATTATACTCTCCATTAAAATTCTGTGAGTGGTATGGCACTGAAATCCTCCTACATTCAACCTGATAACCATGACTTTGGGGCTTCAATCCCACTAGGCCCTTTGGTGGAAGGAAAACAATCTCTTATTTGGCAGGTCAACACAACTGCTTTCTCCTTTGGGGGTTCACATGCAAGACTGGTACATCTTTGTCCTTAAGAGATGCTCTATGACATAATGAGGCACAGACCTTGAGAGGCAAGGCCTTTTGTAACTAGAATATCCACTCCTTAAGCTAACCCCAATGTATAAATATTTCTTAGTGTTTTGGATTTGGATATACCTCTATTGACTAGCCTAAGCTGCTCTCTCTTGCATGTAGCTTCAAGACTGTCACAAGCACAGAAGCTTCCAGCATCCCTGGAAGTCCACTTGTCATAATGTCTCTGCTGTGTCTTTAGGGGAAACCAGCTATGATGTGAGGATATATTGATTTCAGAGAACAGCTGTTTTAAGGTGTTAAAATTCTCCATAAATGGAGAAACAAATCTGTGACCCACTAACCCAGCCACACGACTGCACTCTTGGCCCCTTGGTATTCTGCGGTCAGTGATACCTTCTAGAAAAGTACCACATAAAGTTCCTCACTCACTCCAGGTGGAGCCCAAATGGAGGCATCCTACAGACTGGGCAACAACATAAATTTTTCTTTATTTCTTCTCACATAACCACCCTAATGGAATACCCCTGGATATTTCAGACTCTTGATAAGTGTGCAAACTAATGTTGAGGACATATGGTCTGTTGCTTTTTCTCCTCTATTCATAATGAGACAACTTTCAATAGAGTAAATTTCCTTCCATTAGATTATAAAACAATACATATATGTTATTAGAATACATTTTAAAACTACGTATGTTTCTCAGTTTACTCGCATAAAATAATCTCATTTATTTCACCAAGAAAGCACTCCACCAAGTACTTTCTAAAAAAAAATTTACA